CACGCAGCCACAGGGAAGAGGGGTGATCAGGAAAGGAGGGATCTTCAGAGCTCTCCTGCGTCAGCCACCACAAGGACAAGGCCATAGATTTAACAGGTCATGGCTGCAGTGAGGTGGTTGGCAGCACCATGATGATGTTGCTGAGCAGGGACCAAGGCTGCTCCCCCATCGCAGCACAGCAAAGAGGACCCTGGGCTCTCTGAGTCTTACAGGGGCCCCTATCCCCATTGAGAGCCGATGAGCACTGGGTTGGAGGGGAAACCACAGCAGCTCCCTGGACTCCTCCTTGAGGACTCTGCAAAGCCATGTTTGGGATGGCTGCAGCATGGCAAGCTCATATGAAAGGCCAGCACCTGCAATGACCTGCCCCGTGCATTTTGTTTCTCCTCTCAGCCCACAGACACAACTCATCACAGCTGTGGCCCCTGGCAAGGACCGAGTCACCACATGTCAACCCTGAGGCTGCCGGCCTTTTGGAGCCAGCACCAGCTAGCCTGGCCCTCAGTCAAACATTCCGCATTCCTAACGCCAGCGTCAGGAGACAGACTTCGCACCGACACTGGAGCATAGCTTCGGTGCTGCGAGAAGGGCAGAGGATGACTTAGGATCCAGTTAGAAACAAAATGCCTTTCTAAATCAGAAATCAGAAAATAGCCGCGGGAAAATATATGAAAGATAATCAGGATGAGTTGTCCTGTTGACCCCAGAAATGAGGCAGTGAGGCTTGCACATGAACTGTTTTGTTTTCCATGGGAAGGTGGAAGCTTTGGTTGGATTCAGGCCAGGGTAGCTGTGGAAAACGTGAAGCTCCTCACGAAATTGAGGAGCAGCATTGCTCCACCAGATGAAAGTCTTCCGTGTTATTTTCCACTGCTAGGTGATGAATCCCTGGGGAGCACAGCGGGGTTGTTTGCAACCTTAACAAGTGACAGCTCGCCACTTTGGCAAAGTGAATCAGCTTTCCAGGGTGACTCGTCCCCATCTATTTCCTCTCACGCAGTGGTGGCACAATGGTATGATGCCATGAGCAGCTCCCATGGGAGAGCACCAGAGAAAGCGGGTGCCCCACAAAGCCAGCATGGCCCCACAGCCCAGCCATGGGACCTGCTGATGAGGAATATCTCGCATGCTCCAAGCAAGGGAAAACTTTACTGACATACAGCTGCCAAAATCCACCCCCCGGGGCAGAGATAAGCTCCCAGCTCACCCCAGTTTGCAAACCAGCTCTTGGTGAGCACAGGGCTAGATAACCCCTGCAGGCACCACTCCAGGAAGCTGCCCCATCACTCTTCAACAGCTCCATTGCACAACCTGGGACAAACGCAGGAACAAATGCTCCTGGGTTTCAAAATGTTATGAAGGAGACCTACCTGCTGGTTAACAGCTTTAAATAATACCTTCTTAACTCAAAGTTAATGCATGTTACACACATTCTAATTACATCTTTAGCTGCTAACAATAAGGGTGCACTTACTGTTAGGAACCCCTCCTTCATAGGTTGCTGCAATATCTTTATGGAGGGATAACTTCAAAGCCTGCTCTAATTGCCATGCGTCACAGCCTTTATTTCAGATTGCTGTGTGCTCTCCTACACCTCAGCTACATGGCCTGCTTCAAGAAACTGAAAACACGATAAGGCATTTTTCCATGAACTGCTTTAGCTGGCAGGCTTAAATCCACTGCTTGAGCAATCCTGACATATTAAGTTGAAAAAGAAAACCCTATCAGAGTCCTGTACCAGCAAAGGAATTATGCTCTGACAGTAATTTAATATTCCAGAATTATAAACAGAAGATGAAGCATCAAAGAAGATGTTATTGATTCAAAACATACCATAGGTCTTGCACACCACATATTTTAACCCTCAATTACACTGAATTTCCAGAGGGCCACGCCACTTATCTCCATTAGACTGACACCAAAGCCACTTCCTAAATGGCCATATTCGGTCTGCAGCCCAATTGTGAACTTTAGCAACACAAAGTGGTCCAAGTGCTTTGCTACTCATTAACTTGAAATTCCAGGAGGCTGCCATAAAGCACTCAGCCCGATGGTTGTGATAAGGTCACTGAGAACCCAAAGGTCATTTAATTTGCCTAAAGGAACCTACTTTTATGGTGACATTTGTGATTTTGGGGCTGGCTCTTCCTGCTTCTCCCTCACCTCAGCGGCTGTTGACAGAGCTGCAGTTTAGGTAAAAATGATAAAAATTAAGGAACACCCAACACAAAGCCCGGAACATAGGAAGGGAAACACATGGGCCCCTCCTCCAGAAAACAGAGCTGTGACAGCGGCTGGGGAGCACCAGCCTGGAGGTGCTGGTCCCCACACCCCAACACCACCATCTGCCATGCTCCCCTTTGTGGGGACAGACATTTGGGGTGCTGATCAGGGCAGCAGGGACATGCTGACAAGGTGGGGCTCGGGCAGGCTGGAGCAGCCTCTGCGCCCTTTGCAGAAGGTGCAGTGCTGACCCACCCCCAGCACACACACAGACACCACGCTTGGCCCACAGGAGGGAAAATAAAGCTTCAGTGTTCTTTCCAGGCACTGAGCAGAGCCCCAGGTCACCTCATGCCCCACAGGTCTCGCCCCACGGAGCGCCCAGTGAGTCACAATGCCCTGCAAGCCCAGAACAGGCTTCCTCTGCCGGAGCAGAAGGGGATGTGGGCTCACCCACAGTGTCTCCCAGAGAGGCGCAGGAAACGTCAGAAATCCTCAGTCCATCCCTGCCAGCAAAAACAAAGCCGCGGGTGCCCCGGGAGGCAGCCAGGGCTGCGGCCAAAAGGAAGCGACTGCGGCAGAGGGGAGAGCAGGGACCCCCCCATCACTGCCAGGCCATCGCACCCTGCTGTCGCACAGGGACCCCGAGTGGGCAGATGATACGGGGCACATCCCACCCCATCCATCCCCCAGCACCTCCTTGGGAGCAGAACGAGACAGAGGGCTGAATCACTGCTCCAGTCACAGCCCCATGCATCCAGCACAGGTTGGAGGAGGAGCTGGCAATGCCTGAGCAGTACCTATTCACAGCTCTAAGCTCTTGCCCAACCTGGCTTTGGCATCACCTGCAGCCTCATCACTTGCCTGTTCTTTCCTGGGAGCAGGGAGGGGCTCAGAAGGAACTTTATTAGGGAACATCCCACAGGTGCTGCCCAGCTGGAGGTGATGCTTCTTATGCAGCATCATTCAGAGCAGAGGTGAAAACCCAACCCAGGTTGGTTTCACCAGCAGATTCATCTCTCTTGTGCAAGACCAGGACAGCCCTGAATAGGCAGGGTTCATAAGCTGGCATCAAGTGGGTTTTATGGTGTGATATGGAGCAAAGAGCATATGCAGAGAAAGTGCAATAAGCAGAGAGATAAAGTGGTGCAGAAAGGAGTGTGAGCTCCCCATGTCCCTTCAGAGGGTGGCTCTGCCTGTCCTGCTGATAACACCCGGGGTGCAGGGGAAAGGGAAGGCTGATAATTGAGTCCTGGGGACAAACAAGGCATCGACAAGGCGTGGTTCAGGGTTGAAGCCCTCACTGGCACCACAAAAAATACTTTTTGGTGCCACGGTAGCCAAAGCAAGTCTGGGGAGCTCTGGGCTTTGATGGCTCTGACCCCAAGGCTGCAGCCACTGTCCCAAGCCGTTGGCTCATGCTGTGCTTTTAGTGAGGTCAAGCAGGAGATTTACAACCCCTAAAGCTGTTGCTTTCCCTCCTTCTTTATTAGTTTCCTCCAGAGCCTGTCCTGCCTGAGGCTAGCTCATTAGAGACCTAGTGGAGAAAAAGCACAGCACAATAACCCAACTAACCCCTGTTATTTGGGAGGGTCACACGCCTGCTCCCCAGGCTGCTGTGTTCATTAGGAAGCAGGAGGGCAGCACAGCAGCTCACTGTGCAGGCTGGGCAGTGGGGTGCAAGCGGGCTGCAGGGCTGGCCTCAGGAAAAGGAGGGAGGATGTGAAGGAACCTACAAGCACAGGGAATAAAATCCAAGACACTTCAAGATGCCGTTGAGCCTGAGTTCTCATTATACCTCCTGGCGTTATACCTGATCGCGGCCAACAAATGCACTTCCAGCTGAGGGCTGGCACATGGCGGGGCAGTAAGGGAGGGCAGGGGGATGGTTTCCCTTGCAAAAGCCACCCAGTGTGACAAAGCCATCCCAGCTGCAGCATCCTCACTTGAGTGTCATCTTGGCCAAACTCATGTGCCCCCCGTCGCCATGCAGCACAAGCCAGACCCATGTGCACACACCTTCGGTCACCAGCCTGAGACTGCTGTGCTGGGGACACTTGGATGGAGTTTGGGGCAGTGCTGGAAGCTTCACAGTCTCCGTGGCTGCGCTGCACTGAGCCATAGGGCCCTGTTAGCTGCGGGCACGTGATGGCTCTGGGTGAAGGTAGAAGCGGGTAAAAGCGTGTGGCCTGGGGTGATGGATGGTTCATTGCTTTCTCACAGCGTGACTTTCCTACCACAGCAAAAGCAGAACAAAACATAGACATGGTCAAAACCTCCGTGTTCAGGATGTCCCACCACCATCACTTTTCACTGGGGCTTCTGGTGCCCACCACTGGTGCCCTCCAGAAACCCCCCTCTTCCCACTGCTGCTTCCCAGACCCTTTCACCATCTGTCCCATCCATTTCCTGGTTTTGACCTCTCTCCTGGGTGGCCCAGGGAGCCTGGTGTTGGCCCAACACTGCCCATAGTGGTCCTGGCTGGTGTCCAGGCATAGCAGGCATCCTTGTGGGGATGGATGCTGGAGTCTGGCAGAGCAGTTGCTTCTCCAAGGTGGGGACATTGGCTTGGAAGAGCTGGTTTTCCCCCTGGCAGAAGTTCAAAGTCTCCACGCTGCTTTGCGCAGGGAGATGGAAGTGAGGGAAAGGAGGAAACGGTAATTCCTGTTCATGTTCGTGACTGGCACAGCTGACTGCTCGGTTTGATCTCCCAACTGGCCACAAAGGGAGGGATGCACAAACACTCGCAGCAACTCATTTTGTCCAAGTCCCTGAAGATGTTGCTCTTCATCTTGCTTTGGCTCTTCAATTTCAACCCGTCTCTGAGCCTAAAAATCTGCTCCTTCAATGTGAGGTCGTTTGGAGAAACTAAAATAGCCAGACCTGAAGTTGTTGATGCCGTGGTAAAGGTACGTTCATTTGCCTGGATGGGACAGACATTGAGCTTTCTGAGGATTTCTTAGCTGCATAATCTTGCACTTTATCTTTCCACAGTTGAATTTCAAGTTAAAAATGAGTGAATAACTTTAATAATTTAATTCTCTTAAAGTAAAAATCAGCCTGTAGTTGAGTAGGATGTTTACTGCTATTTTAGCCTGCATGAGAACATAACAGAGAAAACATCTGCTGTTTCCTTTGGAAATGGAGTTAGGAAAGAAGTAAAACCTCTGTGCACAGGAAAAATAATTTTCACTTTGAGTGCACAGAGCTTTGCTTTGTGATACATTATTTACCTTGTTTATGTGCTAATTATTCTACAATATTCTTGTCTTATTAAACACATATTCTCAGGACAGCAGAGAGTACTGTGTTAGAGTGAAAAGCCTGACTGCTAATTTATGTAGCAAACCCTCACCATCAGGGTCCCTCTGCAGCAGCTGAAGATAACTCAGCTTTTTAAAAGAACCGTGTTTTGGACTTGTAGCTTTTTCAAGTGCTCTCTGAGATGTCACAGTAACAGAGGAGGTGGTGCTCGGTGTTAGAGGCATGGCTGCAAATGCCAAAGGGCAGCAATGAGGAATTACATCATTTAGGTTTTAATCCTCCCATTGCAAACAGCTGGAGAAGAGAGGTTTCTGTATCTGGACTGTTCTTATACTGTCAGCACTAAGGGCAACATACTAATTTCTGCAAGTTTCAGGGGGAAAAAAGGGGCTTTTTTCCCTGTGAAATCACCCACACATTTTGAAGACCAACAAAAAAGGGGGCAGAAGGAAGCCATGGGGCATGCTGGGCTGCAGGGTGAGCTGGGCTTTCCCATGGGGATCCCAGTGCTGGCCATGGGGCTGGGGCAGCCTCCCCAGCACCCTGCAGCCCCTCTGCAGTGCTGCAGCCCGTAGGTGCTGGGACCCCATTTCAAACCTGTGACTGCTTTGGGCTCCATGGGTTATTTCAGAGGGGCTGCAACAGAAGCAGGGACAGGTGAATGCTGGCAGCACACGCAGCTTTCGGATGGCACAGTGCAGCTGTAGAACCCAAGGGGTGCTCACACCAGAAAAAGCATGGAAACCATTGCAGTGGGTTGATAATGGACCCTAACTGGCTCCTCTCAAAGCCCCCCAAAAGCTCCAGCCACATCCTTCTGGGCACTGAGGGAGCTGGGTTGCTTGGGGCAAGGAGGAGAGACTGTAGGTGGTGGCAGGGTAGCACCCCAGCAGTGCTGGGGTTAAAGCAGGCTCACAGCAGCGGCTCTCACTGTCCCTTCCTCTCCACACTTCCTCCTCAAGGGCAGGGGCAGAAGTTTTTCAACAAACCTGAAACTGCTCTGCTCCTGAGTTCCCTCTCCCAGCTCCGGCAGGGGCATGAGGCAGCTCTGAAAGCAGAAGGACTCTGCTCTGGCCACTGCCTTCCTCGCACGACCCCAGGCTTGGAGCTACTTCTTCCACAAAGGACTTCCCCCACAGCAGTAACCACTTCTGTCCAACCTCTTTCTAATCCTCCAAAACCCACCACGTGCAAAACTGCTTTTGCTCTTTCCCCTCACAGATCATTTCTCGCTGTGACATCATGTTGCTGATGGAAATAAAGGAGAACAAGAACCGGGTTTGTCCGCTCCTGGTGGAGAAGCTCACCAGGTATGGTGGCCATGGGCAAGTAGACAAGTGTTGGGAAAGAAGCTTGGCAAGAGGCTGTGCTCTGCTCAAAGCCGCCTTATCAGGGTGAAAGCTCAGGGTCTGGGCTTTGTTGGAGCCGTCAAGGAAAGGATGAGGCTCTGGCAGCCCCGCTGAAGGCCAGGAGCAAAGCCAGCTCCAAATTGCTGTAGGACACATATTTTTAAATCAAAATAACTAAGTTAGATTCAATCTGTTCAAGATTAATTCTCAAAGGAAAAACAGAGCTGCCCACTGCACCGGGGCAGCTGCCTTTCTGCAGGGCTGGGGATTGCTGTAGATTGGGGATTGTCTGCCTGGACTGTCAGTCCAGAGGAACAAGCAGCATATGCCTGGCTGGATGTGAGATCCAGCTGAAAGAGAGATAAAGCAGCTTCAAGCAGGGAGGAGGTAGAGTGAAAGAGCCAGCAGTGGAGCACGGATCCAGACCACAGGTCCTGAGGGGGTTTATTGTCTCTACCACTCGCCTCTGAGGTCCAGCAGTTTATTGTCTCTACCACTCGCCTCTGAGGTCAAGCAGGAAACATCCCATACCCTGGCAAAATTATCTCCTCCTCAGCCCCCCTTGAATGCAGAAATAAACTCAGGAACATCACTTTCCTTCCAGTCAGCTGAAGGGGCCAAAGGAGGAATACCGCTGTGTGGTCAGCGAGAGACTGGGAAGGAAGAGCTACAAGGAGCAGTACGCCTTCATCTACCGGTGAGTGAGCATCCCTCACCAACAAGCCAGCCCCTTACCCTGCCCTCCCTGGCCACAGCCCTGTAGGGATGGGCTGGACACGGTGGTGGCTTTGCTCGGCGGAGCTGGAGAGATGCAGGCTGTGCACGTGGGATGGGCTGTTCCTGGCCGTGGGATCGGCCCAGGCTCAGCCACCAGTGTGGCTGTATCCATCTCAGACCATGGCCTAGAGCACGGAGTCAGAGTTAGACATGTCCCAGCAAGCCATGAGCGTGACATCCCCCATCCTGTTCATTCTGCTCAGGCAACATCTGGTTTCAGTGAAACAAACCTACCAGTACCCGGACACCCAGCCTGGAGATGAGGATGCCTTCTCCAGAGAGCCCTTCACCATCTGGTTCCAGTCTCCAAAAACTGGTGAGACGTTTCAGAAGCAAATCATTCTCCCACTGGCGAGTCTTATGCAGCAAAACAGCCCTGCTGGACCCAAGCACATGGTGGGGGCAGGTGAAAGGGGCCACATCCTGACCCCACACTGCTTTTCCTTACCACAAGCAGCATTTTGCCTTTGGGACTGCAGCCCCAGGAAAGCCTCTGCTGTTGCCACAGGCAGTGGTTTGGTGGGTGTGCTCCATGCCACTGGCACAAGCCGTGGGAGCAGCTATTGCCATGGGTGTCGAGGCAGGGTTTGCCTTGCCCTGACGCAGCACCTCACCGCATCACAGCTCAGCCTCGCTGGGCAGCTGGTGGGGAACGCTGTGCAATTACACAGCAGTCGCCTCTGATCCACAGCCAGAACAGCAGCTTCTTCTCCTTCAGACAAACCTCCTTGCTTCCAAGTCAGTCTCTGTTTCTTTGTGATTCACTGTGTGTTTAACCAGTACGCTTTTCCTTGTTCTTTTGCTTTGTTTTTAAGCCGTCAAAGAATTTGCTATAATCCCTCTACACACCACACCAGAGACAGCAGTACGGGAGATTGATGAGCTCTATGATGTGTACTTAGATGTAAAACAGCGCTGGAAAATTGAGGTTAGTTGCCACATCCACGTTAGTAACGGCAGCTTTGGTACTGAGTCACAGCCTGGTAACCTTAAAACTGTTGACAGCAAGCCCCAGATTTTGAGTATCTCTTTAATGTATTTTCATTGACTTCACCACATTTTAATAAGTAAACTTGATCTCACAATAAAACTGTTGTTTCATCAGCATGCCTTGGTGGTGTGCCCAGCAGAAAGAAGGATCATAGTATCACAGGCTGGTTTGGATTGGAAGGCACCTTAAAGCTCATCCAGTTCCACCCCTCTGCCACAGGCAGGGACACCTTCCACTAGACCAAGTTTCTCCAATCCCCTGTGTCCAACCTGGCCTTGAACACTGCCAGGGATGGGGCAGCCGCAACTTCTCTGGGCACCCTGTGCCAGCACCTCAGCACCCTCACAGGGAAGAACTTCTTTCTAGTACCTAATCTAAATCTAAATTCCCCCTTATCCTGTCCCTACAGGCCCTTGTCCAAAGCCCCTCTCCAGTTTTGTTGTCAGCCCCTTTAGGCACTAGAGCTGCTTTAAGGTCCCCCCGAAGTCTTCTCTTCTCCAGGCTGAACAACCCCAGCTCCCTCAGTCTGTCTTCATGGGAAAGGTGCTCCAGCCCTCGGAGCATCTTCATGGCCTCGTCTAGACTTGCCCCACTGCACTCAATGAGTACTTGCTATTTGAGCTGTAATGGCTACTGGGAGCATCCATTGACCCTAAAAGTCCTTGCTGGTCTTCTTTTGAAGAGCTGTCCTCATGATTACCTTTTAAAAACCTCCTACATTCCAGAACTTCATCTTCATGGGGGACTTTAATGCTGGATGTAGCTACGTTCCCCAAAAACACTGGCAGAACATTCGGCTGAGGACTTACTCTGAATTCATCTGGCTAATCAGCGACAAAAATGACACAACAGTGAAGAGAAGCACAAGCTGCCCATATGACAGGTAAATGTTCACCATTAAACCATTCACTGTGACTCTGAGAGAAAATATATCAAAAGGTACCAATAACTGCCAGATAAAGCAAATGTGCATGAGGCCTTCAAAGATAAAACAGTGTCCAGGGAGAAAGGAGGTCTGAAGCAAAAAGCACTATGCAGCCTTGTTGTCAAGCAGTTTTACAGAAAGTATGGCTTTGAGCTTTGCAGCACTGTCGGGGTAGGTTTAGATAGAAGTCGTTTGCCTCACTGCCAAGAAAAGCAATCAGCCAAACTCAGCAGAAAGCAGGTGCTGACATCTCTGAGTAGCTGGCCTGTTGGTAAGGACAAAACATAGATAGCTGTGACTCCATCAAGGCCACCTCTCTGGCCACAAGCTCAGTGCTGCACGGCTGCTGCTGGTTGGGCACCCCATAACAGCATCCCATTCCTTTGTTCCTTGCAGAATCGTGGTCAGCGGTCAGAAGCTTGTCCATGCTGTCATGCCACAGTCCGTCAATATCTTTGATTTCCAGAAGGACTTCCAGATGACCGAGGAGCAGGTAGGCACAGCATGGCCTCTGCAGCAGTGGGACGAGGACTAACACAGTACAAAGCCAACAGTATCCAGGCAGTTCTGAACATGGCCCTGGCCATAAAGCCATTGCATCCTCCCAAACTGATGCAATGCTCATATAGCACCTCCCCACCGTGTGGTGAAACCGTCCAGGGCAGCGTTTGGAGAGAATGGGGGTACCCAGCTCCCGAACCCCTCTGTGCTCTTGTCTTGCAGGCACTGGGGGTGAGCGACCACTTCCCAGTAGAGTTTGAGCTGAAAGCAAAAGGTGGGTTCTTCAACTGGCTGAAATCAAAGTTTTCAAAGAAGAGGAGACCAAGAAACAGCCGCCGCTGGAGCTCATGAGTGTGCTGAGTCCACTCAAGTAATGTGGAAACACACAGACATTAACAGATCTCGCTGAGGAGTAGTGTAGCTATGCTCACAGCAAGCGGAATATTCAGCGGAAAGGAACCAAATATTTTGTTAAAGTTCAAATGTTTTGGGTAAGGAGGGAAATTAAACCTTCAGGTTATTTTCCTAATTGTATGCAAAAATAGATCAGCTAGAAGCAGCGCACTGTATGTACTGTGCTGATCACAAACGTAAGGAGCTACTGCAAGGGGAAAATACTTTGCTGTGCTTTTTAACACCTGAAGGGCAGGGATTTCTACACGTTCACATGGGTTCTGGAGCTCTGCCATTCCTCTGCAGGGGCAGAAGGATTAAAAGGACTTTTCTGCATCGTGCATGTGTGTGTGTGTCTGCTTCAGAGCTGCCACCAGTGGGGCACAGGTTTGTGTCTGGTGATTTGCAATGTAAAATGTTGCTGAACTTGGAATGTTTGCTTGGTGTGGGTTTGAAACTGCTTAGAGCATCAAGGCTTCTGCACTAACCCAGCCAGGAGCAGCAGGAAGAGAGCGCTGATGTTCTCACCCCTACCTGCCTACTGCTGTCACCCTGCCTCCAAACCTCAGGTGAGAAGTCCTGCGGATCCCAGGTGACAGCACTGCAACAGAACATCATCAAATTTACATTAAAATATGATTTCAGCATCATCATGTGGATGTGAACTGCATTTCCCCTTCCCAACCCCCCCAACCTCCATGGCAGCCTGAAGTTGTCTGATGAACCAGACTTTAATGATGATTGTTTAACATAGTTGTGCAGCAATCTGTTTTCTCAGCTCAGCCCACAGGCTGGATTTAGTGCAGCGCAAACCCTGCCATACAGATGGCATCTGAGAAGTGGGAATAATCCAACTGTTAGTAGAGGCAAATATTCGTATCTCTTCATCAGCACCCCCTGGTTTGTCTGCTGGTGGGGCAGCAAGGGCTAGCAAATGAGCTAGCCTTTTAGGGAAGGAAAGCAGCTTGGCCTTTGCAAAACTCACTGTCTGGGGAGAAAGAATTTAGGGAAGAAACTAAATTGAGAGGAGGTTATCCCGAGGGGGGCCGGGGGGGATGTGCAAGGCAGACAAGAAATTCTTCAACTTTCTGTAGCAATTAATCTTGAAACGATAGAGCATTGCATAAGCTCCCTCGGTTATACAGCAAAAGGAAAGAGTCTGATTTAGAACAAATATTTACATTGGGATTTTCATAGAAATGCCACTGTCTGGCTGACAGCAGCAATGGTTCATGTGGAGGCTGAAATCGGTCTAAGTCTCTGGCCTCATATCTTAGTCGTACATAAATCCATACTCTTTCCTGGCTTGCAGAAAAGAGAAGTGCACAAAGGAATAAATCACGCTCTATAGATACTCCTCTGTTTACTCCATACACTCATGAGCCAATACTATAATTACATCCCAAAAAGTTTAACAGTCCATGTCGTCACTAGGTTTTCCCCATCACAGGGTCATTACCCGGCTATCCCAGCTGCAAGGGGGTTTTTAAGTTGCAGGCGCCTCCATGTATCCTGCAGCCAGAACAAAGTTTGTCTTTTGAGGAATGAGGCTTCTTGAGTTTTATTTATTGTCAAACAGAAGTTTTACACTGGGAATCTGAAACGGCCTGGAGAAACTTTGTCTCATGCAAGCCAGGTCTCAGACCATGGCTGTGAGAGAAACAAAGAGGCTCTTCAGAAGCTGAAAACTTCAGCAGCCCCGGCCAGGTGAGAACACAGAGCAGATAGGGTTCAGCTGAACAAAAAGTGCTCAGATCCCCCAATCCATCAGGTTTGGGTCCTTGGGAAGCCCTCCTCCAGTGCATGATGCTAGATGCATCCTCAGTTCCTGCCCCACAGTACCCCATCCTTAGCCCCACAGGCGGTCCCGGCTGCCCTGACCCAGCACAGAGCCAGGGCTGCCCATTGCCCTGCAGAAACCCACACAATATGGTTTTTGCTGCCCTGGGGGAGTGAGTCCTTGGCAGAGAACCCAGAGCAGCAGCCTAAGGCAGGACTGCCATTTCCCCATAGCCTCCAGCACCTCCACTGGCTGGGTTTGTCCATCTGCATTTAGGACTCAACTGAACAGGGCTCATGTGGTCTTCCTGGCCTTGACACTAACCTGGCTCTCCACTAACCTTGGTGGGCTTTGACACCTCTCTGCCTGTGCCACAGATAAGAGACCCTTTGGCCCTGGGCAAGGCTCTGCATACCCCTCTTTGCCTCTTTTAGGTACTGGCAGCAATGAGATCACAGGAGAGCTGGTATAAAACCCCACAGGGACCATCTGGCTTTTTCACTCGGTGCCTGTATATCCCCAAACACAAACCAGTGGAGCACACACTGTGATTGAACATGCAGCATTAGGGGAACACTAAAAAAATTACATATAAACAATCATCAAATGTGCTGGGATGTGCTGTTTATTGAACTGCACAGAGGGACAGGGGTCATTAGGATCAGGGACTGTCCTCTCTCTGCATCACAGCAAGCGTCCTTGGCTCTTAAGCCCTTTGGCACAGCACTACCCATGTGCAGCACAACCTCTCTTATGTGGGTTTACATTCATGTTTGTTTTGCTTTCCTGAAAGTCTAACTGTGTGAATACACACAGACATGAGCAATTCAAGCCTCAATGTGCTCCAGAGCTCCTACCGATTCCCTGCAACAAGGGTGATGGGCCAACAGAAGCAGGTACCAAAGCCACCACGGACAGGGTTTGGGCTGGAACACATACGCACCCTGCATCCAGACATACAGATGTACGTGCGTACAGATGTGCAGCAAGCAAATTGTTCTGCATCCCTGAGAAAGACTGTGTTGCATTGTCACACAGCAAGGCTGGTAGCAACAATAGCAATATCAAAGGCAGGGAAACCAAGGATCCTACCAGCGTTGAGACTACTGAAACCAGCAGTTGGTCCAAGCCTGGCTGTTTCATGGCTCCCTTGCATCTGGAGGGATCGTGGTGAGCAGCTCTGTGCCCTAGGCTGGACATGGCCACTTACTGATAGAGCATCCACTGTGGAAAAGGACCAAGAATGAGGCAAGGGCAGCACCCACACGGCACCCATGGAGTGGTGGAGGGAGCTTGTTTCCAATTTCCACCTAGCACAGTGGTTCCTGGTGGGGCTTTTCTCTGCCAAGCAAGCCAAGGAGATGGGGAGCAGAAGATGAAGACAGCAGTCATCTTCCTGCCCTTATTCGAAAGGAAAACAATTTGAAAAGTCACATTTTTTTCTCCACCTTTGGGTCATTAAAAGCATTTCCCCACCTTCTGCCAGCTCCTTGCACAGGATAAGGCAGGTTTTTCCCCCAGGCTACCCCCCTGACGAGACATGCGCGCATTAAATATTATTAGGGCACCCTCTGGTGGCACCGCTATAAATCCCTGTATCTGGGGGTGTCCGCACGGCATTTAGCCCAGATGCCACAGCCAGCAAACCCAGCTGTGGCAAGGAAACATGATCTCATCCTTAGCTGGGAGCTCACAGACCTGCATTCCTGTGTGTGTCTCTGTACAGACCTATTCACTGCTGAAAGCTGGCCCACAGGTGACCCCAAAGTGTCCCTAGTCTCACTGTGCCTGTGAGTGAGTTTTACAACAAAAAGCAGCACCTTTATTTGGCTCCAGGCTTGTTTATTCGTTGCCCACAGTTATTTAACTAGCAAGCACATTGCAATGACCTTTACAAGACTGCCCCACTTGCAGGCAGCAGCTCCCAGGACCAGCTGCCGGCAGGTTATGGGGCACATCCACCCAAGGGGACTCCTTGGTGTCCCTTGATACCCCTGCACCAAAAGCAACAGGGTGATTAGTTCAGTCCAGCAGTGACCACAGCCTTTCCCCTTGGATCCCTTTCAGTGCATCCATTATGCTCTTTGGTGGTCTGTACCTGGTTTGGGGAGTGATGCACCACCAACCCCTCTCTGCTGTGCCCACCTATGGCAGATGCTACACACTCCCTTTTCTCTGATGCTGGGGTAAACTGCAGTGTGGATCAGGGGGTCTTTCAGCAACCCCTGGAGCCAGGTTTAGCCCATGTTCCTTTCCACCATCCTGAGGGTTAAGCACCGCAACCTCTCCACTATCACCTGGTATAGCACTATCTATGCAGGCCAGTGTTCTAGCCAGTGCAAAATCCAAGGTTAAATACTTCATGTGCCATTTCAAATACAGTGCCTCAGCTGTCAGCGTTTTCAGGGTATTTTCTGTTAGCTGGGAGACAGATTTATAGGAATTGATTTCCATATTGGCTAAGGAAGCAGAAACCTTCCCTGGAAAGCTCCGCAAAAGCTGGCGTTGAGACGTGGCTGCTTTCTGTGCATCTCAGCTGGGAGGAAGGCCTGACCCCAGCCACTTTCAGCGAAGCCAGATGCAAAATCCCACCCCGCAAAAAACATACCTTAGCAGGACATCACTGTCAGAAAGAAATACCCCCCCAGCAAGGGCAGCTCCTCCACAGGGCTCGAATGATTCACAGGCTTCCAGCTAAGCGTGGATGTAAATATTTGCAGTACCAAGGTCCTGCAGAAAGGCAGTTCATCACACGAACGAGCTGTCAAACTTACCTCTGGGTCCTGCTAAACCAGATTTTGCCTATATATTTTTTTTTAAATCACATATACTAGCCTTTAAGTGCATGAAGAATGCACTTTAAATCACAGTCAAATTAATAGTGACACGAGCTATAAATCCAGCCTGATAAATCCAGCCTGATTTAGTGACAATATTTTTTCAAAGTGTGCAATATAAACTCACAACTATGAAAATTAACTCTGAAAGTCTGAGAAATTCTGAAAAGCCATTTAAAACCATTTCCCAGGAGGCCCTGGGGAAACAGTCCTGCACAAGAGGAGAGCTGGCAGCAGGGCTGTTTTGATAACCTTCTGCAAGAGGGACCTGCTGAATATGAACTGCTGCAGGCTGCAGAGTGCTGTAGCCCATCCTGCTGCTTCCTCTCCAGCTCAGATGA